TGCGGTTCATTTTGTGAGTGGTAGTCCAAGTAGAACTATATGGTTTTCGGTCTAGTCTAGGAAAACTGAGATTTTCTGGATGTGTTGCATATCTCCATATACCAAAATAGGTGAACAATAGAAAATTCAACAGCCAGGTGAAAGAATGGGTTACTATTCTAGCGCATATAGATTTTGGAGTCCTATAGAGACGGAAGCCAGATTTATTAAGAATGTGTTCAAAATTGACGTGCCGAAATCACTATTTACAAATTCAGCATGGGATGGATTTAAACTTGAATCTGACTTCGAGTGAGAGAAGTACCTATTGAGAACCCGAATCAAAAAAGTAATCTTAGAGAAGTGGCAGAAACTGTTCAGGGTATCATGTACAGAGCAATAGAAAAGCTCAGGTAGAATCTGAAGATATTGAAAAAGAACCAATAAGGAGCAAACAATCAAAATATCTCAAATATTATGGAGCCATTCATCGAGCTTTAAACTGCTAGAGGGATCATCAAGCATATTTGTTTTGTTCCATAATGAGGTAGCGGGGTCAGAGGGGTGATTCATCCGATAAACAAAGCGAAAAAAGGCCCTGTTGCCGAATTTTTTCCTGTTCGAATAATAATCTCGATAATAATGAATATCGTCATCTATCGAAAAGTATCTATTTCAAATTTGTCTGCTTATAATAATATTAAAAATATACTTGCGACTTTTTAAGTCTATACTTAAAATAATTCTAAAACAACAATACCTTTTATCACGACTCAATTTGGTTTTAAATGGAAGTACGTACCTACTTCTAAAGAAAGATTTTACAGTCTGGCAATAACGTAGTAATTGTTTTGTGTTCTCATGGGCTGCGTTCAGGAATGGCTATAGCCAAGCCAAAATTGGCATTTTGCGTTCGAGTTCGGCTCCGACCTACGTGGTTCGGCATTACCGGTGGAGGGGGAAAAGTAGGTTTTGGCATTAGCATCGCCGTCTATGAACGTACCCATGGTGTTCTCAACTTTCTTGTGACAAATCAGCTGACTGCGTTCGAGAACCTGGTGTGTTGTATAAAAATCACACAGCTGCCGTTCGGAAAGGCGAAGTGTGGATTAAAATAATATGGTTTTCGGCGTTCGGAAGGGTGTTTAACATGGTTTTCGGCGTTCGGAAGGGTGTTTAACACGTATTGATGTGCGCACCGATTACTCTAGAGTGAAATTTAAGCTCACATTTTGAAGATGCACTCCCTGAAATAATTTCCACACCAACAACCAGGTTTTCGAACGCAGCTCTCTGATACCCAAAACATAAACAGACTGGTTTATAGGTTTTTTACGTTATATTTAGGATGACGTCATAGAACAAAAAGAGACAATGTTGTCAATGCCTATTTTTTTTCTTATAATTTATCAGAATGTCACGTGACAGTAGACCTATTTATTTTACCAAACAAAGAGGTAATAATACGAAAACTTCATTAGATAAAAAAAAACACAGAACGCTCATTGCGCAAGACGAGGCAAAATGTACCAAATTTTGTTAAACTTATGTATGGCAATCCGTCCTCCTTATTTGCACGGGATAAAAAGAGAAGAAGAAAAACCGCGTGTTGTGCAACGTATTTATCAATGAACATTTCAAACTACTTTTGAGTGTCACTTGTCAAGGTAACGTCAAGTTGAATATCAACCGTACTTTTTTTTTTATCAGACCACGAACAATGAACAAGGACAAGGAGATGTCCAGCGTGCAAAACGAACACTTCACACCTGTACTAGTTAGCTAATAAAAAGACTTGCCTCATGTTGCGTGCGCATACCAGGTAAAAATAGATAGGTCTTTTCTGTCAAACGAAACGGAAAATAGGTAATTTACACATGCCTCACAGCAGTAAGAAGCAAAAATGGTCGCGTTCCTGCTGGAAATACGTTATTAAGTATACTACCCTTTCCTGAGGCCGACTCCAACAAACCTGCGGGCATTTTCTGAGTAAGTTTACGCTACGAAAAAGTACTGAATTCTTGAAAGAACTTTTTTCTAACTGTAACGTATTTTTGGCACTTAATTAGGATTATACAAAATAGTTAATAATAAATTATCAAGACGACTGACAGCTAAAAATAACGAAATGAATCGACACGCATTATTTGAAAATGTTCATATAAATCATGCAACATCGCGCGCCGTTGCCAACCAAAAACATCTGAAATTGCCCTACTTTAAATGCGTTGAAAAGTACTTTTAGTTTTGTTCGGTTGGCAGCAGAAATTTACTAAATGTGACGTCATCCTAAATATAATGTAAAAAGCCTATATAAACATTCTATTTTGATAAGTGCGAGAAAGAGGGCCTGGTCTCATTCTGGAACCAAACAAATTCTATAGCACATTATTATCGTTATTAGTCTAGAGAGAGAGAGTGTTCAATGGTCGAAGGAGCCATTGCACTTTGAGCAGAATAATTTCTTGACAATGTTCCATGGGAATTTTCTGAAATAAATAAATGAGATGGGGCCAAAAAATGGATGGAAGCTGCTCAAGAAACACGTACAGGGATCCAGGTCCATCCCAGAATCTTCTTCCAACACAGAATATGTTGTTGTGTTGTGAAGTGAAAGTGTGATGAAGATGGGAATTTGAAACCCTGCAAAGCTAGATTGGTGGCTAAAGGATTTCTACACAGAGAAAAGGTTTTCTACACAGAGAAAAGGTTTTCTACACAGAGAAAAGGTTTGGATTAGTCTTAAACAAGTGCACCAGTTGAGGCCTTGTATAGAGTGAAACAAGCTCCAAGAGCTCGGAATGGATCATTTGATCAATTTTTGATGGCTTTGAGAATAATACAGTATAACCATATGACCAGTCACTAGTAGTCCTGAATTAATGCCCAATTAATGAGGAACTCTGTAATGGTGAGGAAATCTGGTGTCGATATGTGTCACCCTGTACCAACCTTGAGATTGCTGCAAGATCACCTGTAAGATATGCTCGCGGCTCTCGAGCTCGGAAGTTCTTTGTCTATTCATGCAGACTCGAGTTATGATCTTCTGGTGTCCAGATTGTATGAAAAGTCTTAAGGAGCTGAGGGTTCATGTTACCAAAATCGAGGCACGCATAGAGAACTTAAGCGTGAAATGACCAGCCTGTCGCATGATCTGAAAGGGAGTAAAGAGACACTTAAAATGGTGAAATTAGCAATTAAAATAAAAGAGAAATTTATTCTGGAAAAAAAAAACATGAAAAATTTAATACAGCGACGTTATCAAGAACTTGCGCTGATGTTACTGAGAGAAATTTACTCAAAAAGCAAGTGAAGTAAAATGCAACAGAAAAACCCTGTTCCCATCGTAAGCATAGCAAACACCAACAATGCTACACCCAACATTGAAAACACTATAATTGAACTGCAGGAGAGAGAAAGGAGCGCTCAAAATGTGCTATTGTTTGGAATTCCTGAGACGGATAATGTAAGAAGAGAGGAAAGACTGGAGAAACAAAGGGATATCATCAAACAAACCCTAAAGAAGTTGAACAATTATTAATGATAAGGATCCAGAAGAGTTTGAGTACTTCAGGCTTGGAAGGTACCGAGCAGATAATATCAGACCAATCAAAGGCATAGTTCCAACAAGAGAGGCTGCCTTAAAGCACCTTAGGACCAGAAGCAGAATTATCCAGGAAAACTCCTATATTAAGCCAGATCAAACAATCATCCAAAGAAACTTTTTGAAGCAAGCACAATTAGAAGTAAGGGCAAGAACGGAAAAGGGTGAAACTAATTTATAGATAAAGTATATAAACAACACTCCAACCATTATCAAAAGTAATCATTCAGCAAATCAGTCTTCTTCTCATCAAAGTCAAAGAAATGTTCCAATAAACTAAGCACTCAGCCTCAGTTAGAAACATCCAGAAATGCCTGATAGCATGATCAATACTATGATAGGCAACACAAACGCGGAGGGGGTGTAATCATATATGTCAAGTTTTAAGGATGTACTGAATTATCTAAAAAAACTGGTTTCAGTAAAACAAACCACCCAACCTCTCCAAGACAAACTCCTGACTACTAGAAATCAAAATTTCTAATTACAAATTCGGTCTTGTTTGTTTATATCGAACACCAAATGTTACTCCAGAGGTGAATGAAGATTTTATCACCTATCCAAACAACATAACCGCCAGCTCAAGAGACATAATAATATTTGGAGATCCCAATTACCCAGAGATCAACTGGAAAACACTTGCTTTCTCTGTCCCACTTTAACTACGCCTCAGAAGCCTTCATCACTTTCTACAAAGAATCCAACTTGAGGCAGTTAATAAATTTTGATACAAGAGTGAGGAAAGACCAAAAATTCCTTCTTGCTCTATTGTTAACAAATGATAAAAAAGTAGCAATTTATGCGGTAGCCCAGATCGAAATAAATGAAATATTTACACGCAAGATAAACAAGTGCAATTTCTGGAAAGCTGATTATGGCCAACTCAACGAAACTATAAGGCAAACTTTTTTTACCAATGATATGGACAATTGCATCAGAACCATAAAAAATCTTATTGAATATAAAGTCCGTGGCATGGTTCTTGAGCTACGACTACTGAATAGACAGAGGGGACAATGGGCTATTGCTGCGTTGTCATATCAATAATATTTATTGATACATGAAAATTGCAATAAAATTTCCTTCATTTTCATGTATTAATAAATATTATTGATATGACAACGCAGCAATAGCCCATTGTCCCCTCTGTCCATTCAGTAGTCGTAGCTCAAGAACCATGCCACGGACTTTAATATTCCTCTTAAAAGTGTAACAAGCAATTCGCAAGAACCCTGGATTTTAGACCGCAAAATTCATCCTACTTTGCTTCCAATATTTTTTTTAGTTTTACCTTTTTTTTGCTTGACAAGCAGCCACTGTAGGCATGAAAATATGTTATAGGTATCTATCAACTATTTCTACTTTATATTCTAGAATTTTCATGCTGCAAATTGATCATCATTAACTTTTTTTCTAGATGAATGCGGTGGGAGCGGTGGCGAAGCAGATAGTGACGAAGACGTCGTCACCGACTATCAACAAGCATTCGACGCAGTCGCGGACGACCATACCGCGATCATGTTGCCTGCATCAGCCCCTAGACCGCCGACGGGCCCTCTGCCGACTATCAGCGTTACGCCTCATTCTCCGGCGGCGGCCCCCAGGACCTACGCAGTTCTAGAGGACAGCCTGCAACAGGTCCGAGAATTGCACGAATCTGTACAGCTTATGCGAAATGCAACTGCGCCAAATAATGGTGAGTTTCATTCCAGCTGACGATACTCCTATATTTGATGATTTTTAGTTTATTCTCACCATTCGAGAGAGTTTGCTGCATTTGCCCTTAACCCACTGTTGATGCAAGTTGCTAGATTAAGCTCTAGCTGTCCTGTATTAAATGAAGCTGGACATGAACCGGATGCTTTTGGTGGTTCTTTGGGATCGTCTCCTTTGCATCAACCACCAAGTAGGAAGGGCAGTGGTAAGATCGGATTTGTAGTAGTGAGGAAAATCAATTTCATATTCAAACTACCAATTTAGGGGCTCAAGATTGGTTATCTCAACCTGAAACTCAAAGAAGAAAATCATGGACTGCACTAGAAGACTTATCGAATACAGGAAAAATAAAGAATGCAAGACAGAGAAGGTGATTATTGTTTTTTTTTCTCTGATTTATTACTTACAACTTGCCTGATAACGTTCAGGAAAAGTGCTATTAGACTTTTTCGAAAATAATATGAAACTATTTATAATAACGTGTTTATTATATTCCATTCCAATGCGAACTGTCCCATGACAGCTTATTTTATCCCAACTGATTAGAAACAATGTTCATTTAACCGCAACAGCACCTTTGAATGAGTCATAAACACTACAAATAAAAAAAAAGTTATCGTTAGTTTAATGGTGAAAATTGTACGTTTCAAATAAACAATTTTCATAATAAATTCAATAGTAGTTCTAATACTTTCAGTATATCGCTAAGTTCAATGGAATCGGAAGCAGACGAATCATCCCTAATCGACAATGTAGATGGAAGTACGGTGAGGTTATTGGGTCCCGAAGCCCCTGTTATAATTAGGCACAGAGCTAGAACTTCTACGGGTGGAGCTAGTACACATTCCCTCAATGAAGCTGATTTACAGGTGGGTTCTTTATGTAATGTCTCATCTCCTTGAAGTTTAAAATGTTTGTTCTCTGGGAATCAGATTTCATCAAACGAAAAATCATTCTATTTTTAAAAATTTGATGGTTTCTGATTTCTGTTGCAACGGGCCTCAATGAAGCTGCGTGGATATTCTTAAGATTTATTCATAGACACAAATATTACTATGATTTAAACTAGTACGTTATACAGGGTGATGTATTAAATGATATCAACTATTGTTCGTCGATTTTTAACTGATACTTGCGGTATGAGGAGCGAGGGGGTGTTTCATATGGCAAAAACAGGTGTGACATCAGGTAACCATTGGCGTTCTAATGTAGGGAGCCACCAGCTCAAATTCCGTCCGAGTATCAGATTAAAATCGACGAACAATATGTATTCTGTTTTTCAATATTTAGAATTGCCTCTATGCAACTTTGGTATAATCTCTGTAATCTTTTTCTATTTCAAATAATGTTTTCAGAGACTCGATCTTAGCGTTCTTAGCATTTTTAAAATTCTTTGAATGGTTATCACAGACACTGAATTATAATATTTGCTTTCATCAACTTTCCTTCTGCAATGTTACTTTTAATACTAGCATTCACATTAAATAAATTTGACATACCTTTTCCAAACCTAAAAAATTCATCCTTTGCCTATGACTGTTATGTGCTCATTCTTCTACTTCATTAAATTTTAGCTCATTTATTCCTGGTCCCATAACTTGATATATTAATATATAGAGATTTCTACTTCTTGCTGATTTTTTGACAGACACTAAACGACTACATACAGACTCTGGATTCACACTAACAGGCCTTATACTAGATAAGAAAATCTTCTATTAACCCATAATTGTCTCATTTCAGAATGACTTCAATAAAATCAAAGCTAAACGTGAAGCAGAACAGTTACGTTTGCTGCCCCAGAGGCTTCCCCTGCAAAAGTCCGTTTCAACACCGTCTATTATTGCTGTAAGGGACTTGGCTCCTGAGCCTGTTTTGGCTGGTGCTCAACCTACACTTCCTGTGTAAGTATTTTCATTGCTGAGAAGTATTTTTGTACTTCAAGCGCACATGTTTTAAGTGTCACTTTACTACACGTTTGTTACTATTAAGATTGCTCGAAGTTTTTTCTGTTATTGGAAAGCATTGAATGAGAATTTTTATCTTAAAACGTATAATAGTGAATAATGCTGAAATATGACGTCGGTCGGTAAATTTATTGCTGTTCATTGCTAGTTGGATTTAAAAGAGGATTTTGTGGATAGTTTGAAATATCCAGATTTATATCTTAAGTAAATGTATTTTTTTGGCATGTTGCTGTTTTCAGAAATTAAAGTTTTTTGGGAACACTGTGCAGTAATATAACATTCTGATTCTGCACTTCTCAGGTAACACATGAGTTTTGCCTCGATTCTTATATGAGAAAAACGGTGTCTTTCTAATTTCGAGTAATCTTATAGTAGTTTATTTTTGTGAATAATTTTTTATGCCAAGTAATTTTGCACTTACACGTTTTACCTACAATTTAACAGCAAACCCATATTTATAAGATTTTTTTTTCGTAATATTCCGATGCCCCATTTACTTGATAAAATGATTGCCCAAGTATCTTAAATGTTTAGATTAGAATGAACATTTATGTGATGTGCATATTTCTCAATACATAATACATACCTATGTATGCATAATTGAAACATTGAACATTTCCGCATTTACAGAATGTCTATTTAAAATATTTGGTGCAATTATACAAGGTACAATTAAAATAAATATTTAGATCAATTGAATACATTTTTTGCCTACTGTAAATGAAGGTTTTTTATTTTTGCTAAATATTGAATATCAAACGAATCTTTACAATTCCCTACACTTACGGAGCCAAGTTGAAAACTTAAAAAACCATAGGTAGTTTTCATCATTGTATTTAATTGTACCTTGTAAGCTAGACTCGTTAGAATCTAGCTTGAAAACTTGCAGTCCTCCCCAATTTATCGAATAAGCTAGTTTGGAGAGTAGTGCATGTGCTTGGCTTGGTGTGTAGGGGCAGACCTAGCGGCACCGAGAGCGAGACAGAGGAGGAAGGGAGCCGATCCGGACATATTCCCCATTACGACATCCACTACAAGCAGCACCTGCATGAGTGAGTATTGATATTTTCATTTATGCTTGGCATGATAGTTTCTAGTTTTGAATAATGAGATTTTGTTATTATTATGAACTTCATTATACAGAGTATCCCAAAAACTTGCCAAGAAATTTTCAAAGTAGGTAGGGAACATCAAAAGAAACTTGTGTTGTTTATTGAAAAACTATCGCCATATGGGCATTTTGGCAGAAAAAAAAAACTAAGGGTTTGAAGAATTTCGTTTATTTTATTGATAAATTATTATGTATTATTAGTTTACAAATAATGTTCAAAAGGAAATCGGAGAATTGTTTGGTGGCAAATGCATCATTTGGGTTTTAGATATTCAAACCCTAAATTTCTGTAAAGCTCCTCGGCTCAAACTTTTTCCTAATATCTCAGATTTTCTCCTAATATCTCAGACTTTTCCCAAAAACAATGAGATGTTTCACTACTCCTACCTAAACTATAACTATAGAAATATTACTGGATTAAAATAAAAACAGATTTATGTAATAATTCTAACAGTCCCCTTTAATTCAGTTATATTTGAACCAAAAAAAAAATATTGTAAATCTAACATTATTCTAAACATTAAATATTCATGTTTTATCCCTGGAAGTCCTTTCTATCGATATCTTCTCTAATGAAATGATACTCTATATTTATATTATGTCTTGTTCTGTTATGGAATACAGGATTTGATACAAATTTTTGAGCACTCTGATTATCATTTAAAATCAAAATTGGCTCTTTAATGCCAATAAGCTCGTCTAAGAAACTTTTGAGAAACATAGCTTCCTTGCTAGCTCGTGAAATCAAAACATACTCAGCTTCAGTGCTAGAAAGACTGACAGTTCTAATTTATCTTGTTTTCGAAAAACTAAATTTTTATCAATAAACCCACAGATTAATAGACCCTTCCAAATATCTCAAGGGTCTCTTTGCATGCTGAAAATGAATATTAGAAAAGCAATTATTGAATTGACTCAAATAGCTGACAGCAAATGCAATATCAGGTCTAGAATTAACAGCCAAAAACACCAGTGACCCTATTAAATGTCTATAAGGAATATTGTCATCACAATTTTCACTCTTTTTTCCAATTTTAACCTAGCTTCAATAGGAGTCAATGGTCTTCTTGCATCTAACATACAATTTGCAATTGCAAATGTAATGTTTTTGGTTGATTCCTAACTCATTTTTGGGCTTGTCTGATGCAATATTTAGCCCTAAAAATTTCTTTACTGAACCAAGAACTTCAATTTTAAAATTCTGAAATAATTTTAGTTTTTCACTTTCAACGCTATTATTTGAAAATATAAAAAAATCATCTACGTAAAGAGCAATTATGAATATTGTGTTGAAATTTTTTTTAGTGTAAACACAAGACTCATATCGAGTTATACCAACTTTTTTATTCCACATTCTTGATGCTTGCTCTGGACCATAGATGGCTTTATTTAGTAGACTAACTACTTTTATCTACAAGAAAACCTTCAGGCTGGGTCATAATAATTCCATATTGCTGTGTAAAACCACTTGCAACAAGGCGAGCTTTATATCTACTCTCTCCATTCATATCACTTTTTAATTTAAAAACCCATTTGCACTGCACTACCATTTGATTTTCTTCTCAATTCACAATAGTCCATGCTTTGTTTTCCATTAGATTAGAGAATATCTATATTCCTCGTTCATAGCTTCTTTCCATTTGTCAGACTTTTGACAATTCATAGCTTCGTGCACTGATAGAAGCTCAGAAGTGTATTCTGACGCTAAATACAGTATATGATCTAGAAACTCTTTTTCTTTCCTCATTCTTTGTGGACGGTTTGGAAATTCTTTCTCTTCACTTTCAACATCTTCAGCATTTTGACTTTCTGCATTTTCACTTTCTTCATCTTCAACAATATGACTTCCAGCATTTTCACTTTCTCCATTCAAACTATCACCACAGATCTATCACCGTCACTCTGATTTTGTTCCTCATCATCATTTTTCTGGTCATCAAAAAATAATCTTTCACCTACATTTTTATCATTTTTCATGCTTGGCTTAAATTTGTTTTCAAAAAACACATCTCGAGACTTTATTATTCTAGAATATCCAATAATCTATAACCTTTTGTGTTTTTCTCATAGCCCAGCTACACACATAACCTCAGTTTCGATGGGGGGACAGAAAAATAAGCATTTAAGGACTATTAACAACATCAATTAGGTGCTAGCTGTTACGTCATAAATCACACAACGTCACTTTCGATAGGAGAACAAACATGTCATTGGGACAAATAAACGATATTTACATTTATTTGCGTACTTTGTAAATAGTCCTTAAACGCTTTTGTCCCTCCATCGAAAGTGAGGTTATGTGTATAACGTCAGATAGGGCTATCTCTGGATAGGGCACTTTCCAAAATGCACCGGTTTCTGAACCGGTGCGATACCGGTTTAATAGTTTACTCACCAAACCGTTCGAAAATGTACCGACTTTTCACCGGGTGAACCAGATTGTCCGTTCCAAAATTGACCGGAATGATCAGCTGTTTGAAACCGGTGAGGCACCAGATCCACCAGGAATTTTTTGGCATTTTTTTTTTTTTTTGACGTAGGTACCATCGTCACCAAAAGTATCTGGGACACAAATAATGCATAATAATCTCCTGGACTAATTCTACTGTCATTCATTTCAATGCATTTAATGCATAGTTTGACAAATATTTGACAATAAAATTCATATAATAAAACAAGAGATAATGTGATGCTGTCCCAGTTACTTTTGGTGATGATGGTACATCAATGGCATGTAATATTGACAGTTGAGTTGAAGAGGGGGCTTCTGTACTTGAAGCTATTTAAATTTTGGCGCGTAAATAATTGATTGTAATTTTAACCTCAAAAGTTAAGTCTGATGTGTAGTTTCAAGCCAAGCTGACGCTGACACTTTTGAAAATATTCTCTAAGGGCCACTGAATGCTTTGGAAGATATTTTAACTTATTCATTGTCCATTGTTCATATTGTAGTCATCTTTCCTTCTACTCAATTTAAACGGTTTAAAACTATTGACATTTACTGCCAAAATTTGAAGCACTCCAAGGTCACTCGCGCCCTCTACAAAATTTTGGAGAACTTAACTGGATATTTGCTGTCATTGCTTTGAGTGGGCACTATTGGCAGTCGTTCATTAAATTGTCGCAACACAACCATCACAACCAAACATTAACACACCAAAGCGTTCCAAAATCCATCAGAAAAATCTTGTAACCGGACTTACACCTAACTTTTACCAGAATTTTTGCCAGCTACCAGTTTAATTAAGCGGTCAATTTATCGGGGAAATTTGGAAAGTGCCCATAGTGCCTGATTGATTTAGAACATGCGCTTGCGCAATACATCCAAAAACACGAAAATGTTCTAGACTCGGTTCTAGACTTATTGTATCTCCTCCGGTGTACTATATCCTTTGCAGCTTTGTGTGAAGAATGATTCTTCCGATAGACAGCTGTATTGACAGCTTCTGCCCATATTTTATGTTCAAGATTAGCTTCTTGTAGCATACACCTTGCTTTTTCCACTATGGTCCTATTTGTTCGTTTGGCCACCCCATTCTGCTCTGGTGTATATTATCTTATAAGTAACTTGATGTTCCATGCCTTCTGATTTCATATATATCTTAATTAGGTAACGGCCCAATTAAGGACCGATTGAGAAGTGTTTTATCTCTGCAAAACCATCCGTGGACGCGTTTCGCTGTATCACAGCTCATCAGCACGGTTTAGGTCCCGCAGAGAGAAAACAACCCATTTTTGGTTCCATCCCGGAACTGGGTTTAATACAAGTAAAATGAAGACAGGGTCTCCATCTATTTTCTGATCGGCACACTAAAAATTGCTACTAACAACCGTATAAACCAGTATTAAATTAGAGCAAATCGACTCGCAAAGGCATTCGCCACAATTGCGAGAATAGCTATTCTAGTTGCCAACCAGAAGTAAAGTCGGTTGGTACTAGTGATGGGACCTGAACATCGATGTATCGTAAACATCGATGTTATTGCCTTCGATGATCGATGTTTTAGCATCGATGCCAGAAGTTACAAAACATCGACATATCGATGTTCGAACCATCGATATTCCATATTGCGAAAAGTACGCAAACCCAGACTCAAAAAAGAAATAGATTGAAAGGGAAAGGAAAAGATTATCAGCCTTGTTATTTTTACAGTTTGTTTTAGGTCGTATTTTTGGGAACTCGAGGATTCGAAGTAGCTTTGCTGTTTATATCATTTGATCCCTATTCATTCTGTAATTATTTTATCCCTGTTTTTGCTTTTCTTCAAAAATAATGTTTATTTTTATCTTTTTGTTTATTAATGTATCTAAATATGTTTTCAATCAGTATTTTTACAAGAACACCAAAAAGTAACCAAAAAAACATAATCTCAACATTGAACATCGATGTTTCAAAACATCGATATTTTTCAATCGATATTTTATTGACATCGATAGTATCGAGCGATATCAGAACCGATGTTCAACATCGATGTCTGAGCACCGATGTCACATCACTAGTTGGTACCGAAAAACATTGATATTAATTAGGTAACGGCCCAATTAAGGACCGATTGAGAAGTGTTTTATCTCTGCAAGACCATCCGTGGACGCGTTTCGCTGTATCACAGCTCATCAGCACGGTTTAGGTCCCACAGAGAGAAAACACAACCCATTTTTGGTTCCATCCCGGAACTGGGTTTAATACAAGTAAAATGAAGACAGGGTCTCCATCTATTTTCTGATCGGCACACTAAAAATTGCTACTAACAACCGTATAAACCAGTATTAAATTAGAGCAAATCGACTCGCAAAGGCATTCGCCACAATTGCGAGAATAGCTATTCTAGTTGCCAACCAGAAGTAAAGTCGGTTGGTACCGAAAAACATTGATATTAATTAGGTAACGGCCCAATTAAGGACCGATTGAGAAGTGTTTTATCTCTGCAAGACCATCCGTGGACGCGTTTCGCTGTATCACAGCTCATCAGCACGGTTTAGGTCCCGCAGAGAGAAAACACAACCCATTTTTGGTTCCATCCCGGAACTGGGTTTAATACAAGTAAAATGAAGACAGGGTCTCCATCTATTTTCTGATCGGCACACTAAAAATTGCTACTAACAACCGTATAAACCAGTATTAAATTAGAGCAAATCGACTCGCAAAGGCATTCGCCACAATTGCGAGAATAGCTATTCTAGTTGCCAACCAGAAGTAAAGTCGGTTGGTACCGAAAAACATTGATATTAATTAAGTAACGGCCCAATTAAAGACCGATTGAGAAGTGTTTTATCTCTGCAAGACCATCCGTGGACGCGTTTCGCTGTATCACAGCTCATCAGCACGGTTTAGGTCCCGCAGAGAGAAAACACAACCCATTTTTGGTTCCATCCCGGAACTGGGTTTAATACAAGTAAAATGAAGACAGGGTCTCCATCTATTTTCTGATCGGCACACTAAAAATTGCTACTAACAACCGTATAAACCAGTATTAAATTAGAGCAAATCGACTCGCAAAGGCATTCGCCACAATTGCGAGAATAGCTATTCTAGTTGCCAACCAGAAGTAAAGTCGGTTGGTACCGAAAAACATTGATATTAATTAGGTAACGGCCCAATTAAGGACCGATTGAGAAGTGTTTTATCTCTGCAAGACCATCCGTGGACGCGTTTCGCTGTATCACAGCTCATCAGCACGGTTTAGGTCCCGCAGAGAGAAAACACAACCCATTTTTGGTTCCATCCCGGAACTGGGTTTAATACAAGTAAAATGAAGACAGGGTCTCCATCTATTTTCTGATCGGCACACTAAAAATTGCTACTAACAACCGTATAAACCAGTATAATAGATGGAGACCCTGTCTTCATTTTACTTGTATTAAACCCAGTTCCGGGATGGAACCAAAAATGGGTTGTGTTTTCTCTCTGCGGGACCTAAACCGTGCTGATGAGCTGTGATACAGCGAAACGCGTCCACGGATGGTCTTGCAGAGATAAAACACTTCTCAATCGGTCCTTAATTGGGCCGTTACCTAATTAATATCAATGTTTTTCGGTACCAACCGACTTTACTTCTGGTTGGCAACTAGAATAGCTATTCTCGCAATTGTGGCGAATGCCTTTGCGAGTCGATTTGCTCTAATTTAATACTGGTTTATACGGTTGTTAGTAGCAATTTTTAGTGTGCCGATCAGAAAATAGATGGAGACCCTGTCTTCATTTTACTCATATATATCTGTTCATTGTTTCATTGACATATTTTGTACCATTGTCACTTCTGATTTTTTTTATAGTTTTCTCGATTTTGATGTGAGAATATCATTATTCCCGCACGCAAAATCATTGAAAAATGAAGCTCATTTTTCAACGATATTTAGTGACATTTAATTTTCAAAGTATACCTATTGGTACCTTCAAAATTGTCAAACCTTTTAAAATAATAGAATCCACCTGTTAGTTGGCTGGTAAGTACGTGCCACCAACTGAGATATTTTGCAAATTAAAAATCCCCAACTAACAGGCCCACAAAAAAATTTTAAAAAATGAAAAATAAAATCCAAAATCGAGAAAATAGTATAAAACACACGTTGCAGAAGGCTAGTCTCGCACTCATTCGTTCGTCCACTCGCTCCTTCGTCGCTCGTGGCCAAATTTCGAATTCGTGCGGGAATAAACTCTGTTTTTTTTTTTAAGATAATTCCCCAAGTCAAAAATTTGGTAACTATGTTGGCAACACAAGCCTTTTCTACATAAAAAATTTGAAAGCATTGACAATTTTACATTGAATTGCCAACATAATGTCATTTTGACTTTTATCTTTAAAAAAAAAAACAGACATTATGTGGCCTTCTGCAACTTGTATTCTAATATACCTACTATTACCTGTCTGATTTTCTACTATCTGAAAATTCTTAAAATTTTCAAAAGCTTTAGATTTTAGGAAATAGACAAAAATCTTTCTGGTGAAATCGTCAACTAATACAAAAACGTATCTTGCTCCACTATATAGGATGCTACTGACATGGACCCACAAAGATCTGTGTGTACTAGCTCCAGTACCTCTTTAGACCCCGTTTACATCCAAGTTTACTAAATGGTTATGGTGTTTGCTTACTTAAAAGACAAACAGTACAGCCGTCTGATTTTTCATCACAGTACTCAATGCCTATTGCCATGCTGTTTTTCAATAAATTCATGCTTATTCTGTTCGAATGACCAAGTCGTTTATGCCACAAATCCTATGTTTCTTTAGTGATACTTAAGAAACTCTTACGCTGTACAATGCTGTGACAATAGTTTCGCCCTGAACTTTGAAATTATCAGCATCGTGAATTGTGCACCCATTTGTGTCAAAAACAACAGCATGCCCCTTTTCTATTATTCTAGTCACTGATAGAAGATTTGCTCTCAAGTCTGGTACACGTACAATCTCAAATATTGTTTTCATACCATTTAGGGCCGGTATTATAAAACTACTTTGAGAGTTAACTTAAAGTTAACTTCTGGAATTACATGTAATTTAAAAAGTTAACTTTAAGTTAACTGTCAAAGCAGTTTTATAATACCCGCCCTTAGCGTATAAACCTGTGCCTTGCCAACTCCGAAACTTGACATTTTCTTGTGATTCATTTCTACATTCAAAATCTTCCAAATATTTTTTCTGATATGACATGTGGTTGCCCCTGAATCAATGTACCAAGTCTAGAAATTCCTTTTATCACTTACACCGTGTACAGTTTGTAATGCTTTTCGTGTTCTCGCCGAAGAATAATTTCTACTCTCGTTATTTTTCTTGTTCTTCCAAAAACTTATTTTTACATTGATATTTGTAATAGCGAATCTGACCATTCTGGAAACACTTGACGCCTTTGGGACTCTGTAACGAATAGAGATATTTTCCCTATCTGTATTGACGTCCCCTCTCTATTGATTTCGAGAAGAAGACAGCAAGTGCCATAGCGATAGGATAACAATCTCTATCCGTTACAGAGTTCCAGCTCTGTTTCTTTGAACTCTTTGTCATACTTATCATTTTGAAGAAGCTTTGCTTTCACAAAGTCACTTGTGATATTTTTTACTGAATTCTCTATGGCCATTACCATAAGATCAGGTCAGCCCACTGAGCATAATAACGCCTAAGAATATTCATCATCAACTGGATGTTCCATATCTGACAACTTCTGAGCAAAAGACAGTCTGATTAACATAAGCTTCCATTGCCTGAAAATCTTCCAGTTTAATTCTTACCAATTGACGTATTAAACTTAACCTCCTAGACAACCCTTTATCTTCATAGTCTGCAACTAGATTATCCCAGGCCATTTTCGCCGTTTTTGCTGTCCTGACCTGACGTGCGGATATGCTGCAGGCTTTACCATTAGACAAGAGCCTTTTGGTCCAACATGTCTTTTTCTGCAGCTCTGGACGTGTCTCCTGTAGGATACCCATCTATACAACGCCAGAGATTTTCGTGAATAAGGGCCATTTCCATTCCAAATTTTCAATTGTTGAAATTTTCTCTACCGGCTAATCTTTCAAGACCCAATAAACTAGAGGATGAATCAGACAGATACCAACGCACTGGGCCCGTAACCTGTTAATTTTGTATGGAAGTCCACACTCGAAATGTGAGAAGAAATAGAAATATAGACCGTACGTTGAGAACTTTTAATAACAATGACAGCAATACAATAACAGAACTAGACAACAGAGCCGCTTTCGGGAGCAGAGTACGAAGCTCCTAGAACACTTCACACCTGTCATACTCCATGCGTTTTGCACTCGAACGCTTGAAATCGAACGGGTCAAACTGTAGCCGGAGTACTTCGGAGTAACTCGGGAGCGCTCAAAGGGTGACACCCGAAAGCAGCTCTGTAGTACCAAGTAGTACCACCAAAAATTACAATTTGTCAAGTACCTACCTATCCGTTAACTTCTAATCACACTAACCATGATGAGATGGCTCACACAGTATTAAACTACGTACTACCTACCTAAACTATAACTATAGAAATATTACTGGATTAAAATAGAAACAGATTTCTATAATAATTCTAAGAGTATTACATCAACTCTGTTATACTTACTTGAAATTCTTGATAATGGACGGCAATTTCTCATTTGGAAAACTGATATGCATCTTGCTTATGATAGAGAAAATTGCAATGAAAGAAAATCTGGATGATGGTTACCTCATTATACAATTTTTGCTTCCATTTAATGTGGCCCTGGATAAAGTTTTAACGTAATCGTTATCCTCAATAGCAATCCATGATCAGTATTTCAAAGTTTTTCGACTCAGCTGGCAGAAGTGTAGTAACTATCCATGTATCTCCTTTTTCAAGAATAAAGCTAAGGTTTGCCTGCTCCAGCCAATCCCAAAACTACCCAGATACAAACATTTCGTGCCAAAGGTTCACCTATGAAAAATGCAACAAGTTTTTCTTGATGTTCCCTACCTTTCATGAAAATAGACTGATGAAAATCAATCATAACAATACAAATTCTTCTCGAGTCTTCAATTTAAAAAAAAAAAAAATATTGTTTGCATAATTGCACTGCATTTTATTTTGATCTGTACTCAATAATACACCAAATTTCTGAAAATGGTAAATACATATTCATTTGAAAATAATTTATTATTTTATACTTGTATGTAATTTAGTTCTGGTTATATAAATAAGAAGCTCTACAAGTGTATTGTTTTCTTTCCGAGTAAACATCTATTGTTTTATTAATGTTATTCTTCTATTAGAACAGTTTCAGTGGCCTATTATGAATTCTAAATGCCTTCTTTAGTATGTATATGTAATAATTGGAAATATGAATTACAATATGTAACGAAAATTTTACTTTTTTTAGTATTCCCTACGACAGACAGTCTGAGAAGAGGCGGAAGAGAGGGAGTTTATTTTTCCGAAAGAAAAAGGTGAATATTAGTTTTATTAGTTTTAATTGGACCAGTTTTCATGTTTGATTGATTTTTAGGACAAAACCAAAAAGTTTTCAACTCACCAATGGGTATCAGCTTGTTATGGTTCTTCCCAAATATGTGATGTTTGCGCCAAACCTTTAAGCAATAAGCCAGCACTCTACTGTGAAAGTGAGTAAAAACTCCCTCATATTTTCTTTTTTGTTTTTGGCAAAAATTTCTATTTTAGCATGTGGAACAACGGTTCATCAAAATACATGTAAAGACAATATATTGGAATGCGTTAGTGCAAAGATCAAGAGTGCCAAAGTATGTATTAAAATCATTGAAAATATTTTAAAAAAAACTTCAATATAAACTTTTGCATTTTAAGAGCACAAGTAAGCTAACTGGATTTACAGTACCTTTGACTTCTGCGAAAAATTCCTCATCAAAACGAGGCTCTGGTAGTGTGCCAAATTCAATTAATACTTCAACAAGGTAAGTGTATGAAGCATACATTGAAATGTAAATAGTGTTTTATGAATAAATATTACAATAAAAATTATATTCTATTCATCGTTAATTAATGTGTCGATTTATTTGTAAAATAAATTTTCAAATGAACATAAACATCATACGAAAACAAAAATGTTATAGCAGTGAAATGCAAATAAAATAGTTAAACATTATGTAGTTTCAGCTAACAAGGTATATTACTTTGCAGCAACATCATATCAAAAAAATTATCTGTAATTTGTAATTATATGTAAAAAAGAGTTTTTAATCTTCTTTTTTTTGTGTAGACTTCAGACGTTTTGTGTTTTTAAGTTAGATTTTTGTAGAATTTGGCAATTGGCATGTAAAAAATTGAAAAAATCTTTCAAAAACTACTAAGACTTCTTAAATACCTGCATTTTATTTGGTCACTTATAACGCATTATATTCATCTTTGGAGTGTCAACCATGTCGAAAATTATGCTAGAGCATTTTGGGTGTATCTTGTTCAATGTATTTTAGAAACGCTAATAGATATTTGAATAAGGATCAACAATAATTGTAAATAAATTTCAAGGTATTTTTCAACACATATTTTTAGTACCTACTACATTTCAATTTTTTCATTGAATATAAGTGTGGAGGTGCCTATACATTCTACACATAATGTTGTATATTCACAAAAAATATACTCTACTATACTGTTTTCTTCCTTCCTTCTTTATCCTGCCCAGCTTTGTAGCTTCTACGCTTTTTATGTTATATTTTGTATGTTCTTTGTACAGTTGCACAATTTGCGTCAGGAATGTTTATGTTTCAAAATGATGATAAATAATTTTTGGTAATAGTGTTCCAAATAATAAATTCAAAAATTATGTATCATTAAAAGATGTGTGTCGTGTCCGTTAAGAATATGTTATTGGGTGTGGCTAATACATTATGTTCCCCACCCCTCCTTTATAGGAGGAGTCAGCTGTGCTATTCGCCATGGCGCAGGGTTGCCACCAAACTGGGAGTGAAGTAAGTTCCCTAGCCTGTCCATGTCCTTAAGTTCATACTTTGCACGCTACCCTTTGGTTTGGTACCATTTTTCTGCTTTTTGGTGATCTCCTCTTTCTACTGTTCTTTTTTTTTTTTTTTGTTATTCTGTCGGGCTTTATTTTTGGTTTACCTATTATTTATTATTTAACCTTGGTAAGCAATAAAAGATATTGTCACTCATTTTGATTCTCTATAAAGAAGTTGCAATGTTTATTTGAAAATAAAAACTATTAAAAAATTTTCTTGCTGTGGCCATTTGCTGGAACATACATTAAATACAGTCCAAAACTATAATGTAACTATTTGTATTAAAAGAGAGCAAAGTGCATCATTTTCTCACGCTGGTAGTTTTGGGGAAGAAATGGCACATTAGTCTGGTGGAATTTACCAAATTAATAAAAAATACGTATTTATGAGAGTTGTCAGCTACTGTGGTCATCCAAAATATCTCACAAGTGTTCCAAATGACTGTTTAAAACTGTAACCGGTGTGTAAATATGGATTTTCCAAACGACTTGACTATTTCAGATGATATTAATTCTAACCTAGCTTCTACTTTTTCCATTTAGAGACTTACTCAAGAAGCGGTCATGTGGAAAGTTGTACAAAAATATAGCAATCATTTTGCACCGCAATTTTTTTATTTATTTTTTTCAATCTACAGTAGCAAGCAAGTGCAGCCTCAACCGCTTTTTTCAAGAAGCTTTCTAATGTTTTTGTGTAAATAATGTAGTACTACATGTGTTGTCCCAAAGTATTTCCTATCAAGCTTTCTATGGAACCAGTGCCATTTCGTCTGTCCGCTTTCCATCGCTCTGACTTGGACCTTGTGTTTCCAGAGCAGAAGGAAAACCCGCCGTTTTAAGTCCTCCTAATGATGTGTGTTTATGTATGTGTATTTATGTGTTGGAGGTGTCAGTTGCACCGCGATCAGCGTTGATCTATTGTACCCCTCCTTTTGCTGCTAAGTTCGGGTTTCTCGCTCAAACCAGCCCCTCAAGTTCTAGGTCCTTTAGAAATTTTAGGATATCTAGCGTTTCCAGAGCCGGAATGTTTTTCAACTGTATAAGGACACATCCGAAATTCTTCATCCTTGAGCGACTAACGGCATCGCAGTTCAGTAGAAGATGATGAGGTATCTCTTCTCCCTCTTCACAGAATCTGCAGGTGCCACCTTCTTCTAGCCCCAACTTCTGTAGGTGTTTCTTAAGTCTGCAATGTCCCGAGAGAAACCCGGTTAGAGTCTTGAGACTTTCAGGGGCGGATGGGGAACATAAAACCGGCCAGGGAAACTGTTGGCACCGGCCCGGCCTGCCAGATCAGTATTATTCTGGGGGCTGTTCTGAATGAATCGCGCCAGAGCCAATTTTTTTTTCCAGTTCAAGGTCACGCAGCTTCAAAACCTACGAGTCCCACTTTTTTCTGGTATTATTTTATAGGGGTTACACAAAAAACTATGGAGGGAACTTCCTGGACTTAGGCAATCCAAACCCTTCATGGAAGGACCGTCTAAGAGCAGAACAGAAGAACTGCTTAGCTTAAGCAGCAGACAATTGAGAGATGTGGTTGGATTGTGGACAGGACACTGCTCTCTCAGAAAACACCTGAACACAATGAAGCTATGAAGCTAGCAGACGACTCGCTATGCGAAAGGTGTGCAGAGGAAGATGAAACACCTCTACATGTTCTATGCCATTGTCCTAACCTTAGATGGCAAAGACAGTAGCGGCACTTTGGGACAGAGTATCCGAAACTAAAGGAAATCGCGAAAGCGAAAATCAGGTTTTACTGAGGGAGTGGACCTGATATGAAAACGTTAGAGGGGCCCAATGAGCCACGAGCTCCATTACAGGTGTCCGCACACCCCAGGAGAGTATAGAATAGAATAGGGGTATTTGGAAATAAAAATATAAAATGCTCATTTTATTTATTTTTCTAAAGCTTAGATCAGGAAATTGGTGGCTCGATTTAGGATAATAAATTAATGAATAGTGGGGATACGGCCAATTTTTATTTTCTCAGAAGCACACAAAAAATGAAAATTAACGTGTCCGAGAGGAAAGTCAGGAAAGTTTTAATTCGAGAATAACAGGGCCAAAAGATTGTTTCTTATTTATCCCATGGCAACTTTGACAGTGGATATCTTGAGAACCAATCATTCCATTTCCAAAAAAAATACGCAGTTGTGACGAGAATCAAAATACCTTTAAAACAAGGTACCACTCGCCCCATCTTCCCTATCTAAGAAAGTGGGGTGAAAGTCACCCTACGCACTTTAGCGAGGTCAAAAAGTTTCCCCTTTGAATACAAAAATGACGTCTCCGAGCGGTTTTTTTTTTTAAATTGATGTTTCGATGTTCGTGAAACACCCTGTATGCTCCCGGGCCGGTTGGACCGGCCTGAAATCAAGCGGCCCTTCGGGAAACTTCCCAAAATCCCTGACGGCCCATCCGCCCCTGGAGACTTTTCTTGCTAAGATTGACCAGCAATTCCGATCTTTTTTGGTTGAAGTTGCCCAATAGATCTTTGGCCTGTCATAGTCCTGGATCTTCTAGCCATTGTTTGTTCCTCAGCCAGTTCTCTTCTTTTTTGAGGATTTCTTTGATTCCCATACTGTCAATTGATGACTGGGGATGTCAATGCTTTGATAGCTGCTTGGGAACCGTCTGTGTATCGTTTGATGGTATTTGCCATAGAAAAGGTGTTTGCTTTAAGGGATTGGATAGATTCCATGTTCCATCTGTTTTTTGTACTTAGTTCGATGGAAAAGGTTTTCTCGAAACTGAATTTATCAACAATCTTTTGGTAGATCCATAAGGTGTGCACAGTTTGAAAGAGGAAAAGTTCTGCCATAGAAAAGTGATTTATATTCTTGATATTGAATGTTCACCTCTGTTGTAGTCGCCAAGTGACATTTTCAAAGGTGCTGCCATAGCGGTGTACTCATTGAACTAATATTTGGCGGGCCGTTTGAATTTTGTTGTTTTAAATGACTGTCCCATGACTGGTTTGATATTTAAATTATTTCCAAATATGGCAGTGCTCCAAAACTTCATAAACTAAAATTTTATACATTTTATTTTCATATATTTATGTGAGAATCACTTAATGAATAAAATAGTCTATAATCTAGATGTCTGGCGTCAATTTTTCCATTTAAATGGCCGTCATATTTGATCAAGTTATTTATAATGCCCTCGAGCGTATGGCGCAACATACAGTGGCACAATTTCTAGGTTGTTTATCTCCAACAATACAAAAATTTCTGTTTCTGTGTTGTTTTTGATGTAGATTTCTCCTGATCTGTGGCTGCAATTCGCTTTTGGACGATTTATTTTTTGCCGCCTGGTCACACATTGTGGCAACAGCTCTTAAAGGGGGTGTGACCCAACAATGAAAGTTTTAGTGCAATAAAATCGAAGAATAAATATTTAAACCGCATCTTGCTACGATGGTCCGTTTTTAAGTTAGGGCGGTTTAAAGTTACAACTAGGTGTTTCTGACGTCATACTGGATTATCAGGGACAGTAGTAACACTTGTAAAAATTTTCCAAAACAAAAGACAATAATTATCTCCTAGAGCGAATTGCAACCATCCAAAGTATAGAGTACGGTTCAATGACGACTGAACGAACAGAAGACTGCGATTTCGGCGGTTGTGACATCACAAGATCCTGCATAATTTATTTTCACAAGGAATTTTCTCGGAGATTATTTTGAATATAAGACTGCGGTTTTCACGAGAGATCTAAGAATTTTTTTCTTGATTTATGTAGCTTAAGTTGTTTTTTAAGGTCACAGCCCCTTTAAACTGGCTGCGTGTGATGCACTTACCACTTCTTTCACAGTCTTGGAATTGAAAACAATCAACGACGATGCACTCAAAAAATTAATTGAAATGACAAGATGACATATGCATTATGATGTTGAATGGACCCCTGCGTTTTTATGACTGATTTTCA